TTTTATGACTGAAAGAAAACTATGTAAAGATAAAGTGATGAATACTGAGAGAAGAGTGTATGTGTTTCAGCTAAATATTCTGATCTCTCAAGCAACATTCCTAGTGTTGACTCAGTCCTTGTCATCTTTTCAGCACGTTGGGAAGAGGATTGGCATGTTCCATTTTCCATCCTCTCTGGACTTGCTTCTCATCCTGTCTGTTTCTGGGTTTATTCTGACAGTGGGAGCTAAAATAGCTCAATGCTGTTCAATTTCTTTCTTCCCAAGATATGCTCAGGACAAGCATATCAGTACTGTTTTCTGCTGGTTGAGAACCAGCCCTGTGAGAGACTCTGGGGAGGGTTTGGGCCTGAGCATGCTCTCAATAGGTGGCTTTCACCTAGGAACAGGAGAGGAGGAACAAGCACTGGAAAGGGTTGAGGAAGAGGAAGGTCTGAAGGACAGAACCTAAGAGAAGTAAGACAAGTAATTTCAGGTGAAGGAAATGCATAAATGACCAATTAAGAATTCGGAGATAATTTTAAAAACTTTTAAACTTGTGAGCTTTTCTGGAAAGATAATTAATTTTGTTAAAAGGATTTGCATCCTGTAGCGGTGGCATGTTTGTGAATAAACTGAGGGTTGTCTAACAGTCTCATCTGATTAGTACTTTCAGACTATTCAAAGAGTAGCTACATTAGTCTTGACTAATGTGTTTCAAATCTCCAGTCTGGATGAATTCACTAGGGCTCTGTGTGCACTATTCTTCCCTCTCCATGGGATATGGCTGTCTGTGCTCGCTTACTGGCTGCTCTGGGATAGTTCTGGCCATAGAGATCATGGCCTGATGGCTCCATGGCTGTCCTCAGGTTCTGTGTACCTCTCAGGAGGACACATGGCCCTCACAGTGCCCTGGTTTATCTATGTGGACAAGACCATGACTCTGACTCCATTGATAACCAGTTTCCTTTAAGGACATCTGATCTCTTTTATGTATCCCTTCAACATGCCCCACCTTCTCCTGGGAACCATCAGATCAACTGTTTCTGAACTGACAAACTGCTTATCTTGGTGTTTATAATAAACCAGAAATGGTTTTGGTATTGTGCAATGTGCTATTCTGTGCTTTGTCAACATGAGCAGTTGAGACTCAGGAGCACTGAGGCGTGGACCATGACCTCTCCGGCTCCCCCAGGACAATCTCTTCCAGAACCAGTACTCTTGGTCCACAGGTGGTCTTCTGGACTCTTGCAGGTGGTGTTCCACAGTGTTGGTGTAGCTATTAGTAGCCAATTCATGAGTAGCTTATCATAAATAAGAGAGAGAAATTCACTCTACATGGTCTGGATGATCAATTACAATAATATCTTGGTTTAGCATTAGCATTTGCTGAGAAAAACAAACAAACAAACAAAAAACAAACACTAGGCTGATAAAAGTTTCAGAAATGTCACCAGCCTTTCATTGAAAAAAGATTAGATCGCAGATGGATAATTCAACAAGTTGCCCAATGCTGTATGAAACTCTTTTGTAACAGACTAACAGTGACTAGTGTAACTCATAGAGTTTTAAGAAAAGCACAGGAAATTTTTTCACAACACTTATTTTGAAAAAGATAATATTACCTTAAAAAAAAAAAAAAAAAAAGACCACACACACTAATTTTCCTTTTCTGGGCAACTTAAATTAAAAGTCATTAATGGATGAATTCAGGTTTTGTTTGGTTTTTCACCTTTTCTTCAGTCTGTGTGGCCTCTGTTTTGAGCAAATGAATTGGTCACCCAATCTGGTGTTATCTACAAACATGATCTCACCAACAAAGATGTCAAACAGGATAGACTTAAGGACAGAACCTTCTGGTACCCCAATTGTCATGGGTATTTACTCTTTTAAAAACCATACTGATTACTCCCAGTAACCTCCTTATCGTGCTCAGAAATGTGCTCCAATAAGACTCCCATCATGATGTTCCAAGCTGCCAGGCCCTGGGATAATCTTAAGAACTTTTTCTAAAGATGGGAGCAATACTTGCCTTTCTCTAGTCAACAAAGACCTCCTTGGTCTCCACAACCTTTTGAAGATGATACAGAATGGACTGGCCAGGTCTTATCACCCTTAAGTTGGATTCTTGTGAGAACTGCATAGATTTGAGTTTCCACATTTAATTCCTTCTTTGGACACCCACTGTTATCTGTTCCTTTCCTCCTTGCGCCCTTTTGATTTGGGAAGCTGGTCTCCTAATATGTCTGCTTGTTTCCCTAAGTGTTACAATGTCTCACTGTTCTGCATAGAGAATGTAGTTCTAAATGACCTGCCAGCTTTTCCTGAGCTCCTTCCCTGAATAAGCTAACGTATTATTCTTTATCAAAAGAAAACTGGAAATAAGGAGTTTCTTTTGTATCTACCAGACTGTAATGCGATCTCCTAAGAGATACTGTCTTTATTATACTTTCCTATTCAATTCCCTACAGCGAGCCATTAATGTTTCCTAGTTCATGGTTATGCTATGGTGGATTACAGTCAAACTATGCTTCTCCCTGGCATTTTTGCCCAACAGTAATGATATCATCAAAAAGCTGTATAAATTAGTGTGGCCTAGCACAATGTCGTCACTCTTTTTGCTTGCAACTGTGAGCATTTCTATTCTGGCTATTGCTGCATATTGGGAGAAGTATGTGCAAATGCTGTTTGTACATATGTTCAGCTCCTTCTCCTTGAGAAATTGGCCCTGTTCTTGTAATCTGAAGGAAAAATCTTCCCAGGTGAGTCTTTGACCCAGTGGCAATCATTAATTTTTTCAAATGCAGTAGTTCTGCCAAAAGCTGTTTGCACCTATCTAGAGTAGAAGTTAGTGTGGGGAATAGCTCCTGCCAGTGCTGGTGGTTGGACAACTCCTCAGCACTGGAAAGAGTCCAGAAACAACTGTTTTCAGCACTGACTTGGCCAGGACTTGCAAACAATGTCAATGTCCTCAACAAATCCTGGGCATAGTCCAGGGATTATCTCAGACTGGGGCTAGTATGTAATGGCAGTTGGTCCTGGTGCAAGAAAACTGTCCTGGGAATATTTAATCTGATAATCAAGCATATAGCATTGTAAAAAAAGTAGTCTAATAATCAAATAACGATATTTGGATGCCTGATACTGTAGTCCAAGTTTCTGTCTCAAAATAAAAAGCAGTTTTACACTAAAGCATAAGTTTGTTCTAGCCATGGTTCCTCACTTATTTATGAAGAACATTATGACATCCTTAAAACCTGAATCTCCAAGGCCAAAAGAAGCAGAAAGATATGTGAGCTGTCAAAATCAATGAGACTACCTCAGAGGATAAAGTTCTTTTTATTGTGAATGAAAGTACTCAAAAGTTAATTCTGTTAAGGAGTGAAACACTTGACCATTTTTTGTTTGAATATTAACATCAACTTAGAAGTCCTGGTGAGCTTCCAGCATAACATCCTCAGGTAGGAACAGGTGGATGGCTTACTTTCCAACCATCCAAACCAGGGAGTCAGATGACAGGACTATTCTGATATAACTCCAGCTCCGGAATGAGCTTTGTATGGAATTAGGTTTTAACTGAAAGGGGGATCTTTGTCTGTGCTCTCCTGTCACCTGACCATACACAAGGACACATTGGTTATTTTTGTCTACCCTGTCCACGAGGACCAAAGCCTTGTCTACAAACCTGTCTGTCACCCACTCACTAGGATACATGGATTTAGTTTGTCCCAGGTACAGGTCTTTGCATTTGCACTTGTTGAACTTTGTAAGGTTTCCATCAACCCATTTCTACAGCATGTCAAGGTCCCTCTAAATAGCTGGCCTGCCCTCTCAGTAGGTTGGCTCTTAGTATTTTTAATATGATTAAAAAAAAAAAAAAAAAAAAAAAAAAGTATTATTTTTCTTTAACAAGTTGTAACTGAAACTTCTTGACCGAAATATTTAAATCATATTCACAGAATGGAAGATAACCAATAAGGACAGTTACCCAGACAGCTAAAGTAAGATGAAATTAAAAGAAAAGACAAAAGCATTTCAAAAACTTACACATAAGTTATCTTATCTCTTGGCTATACTTCCTATGCATTTTAGTCCCTGACTTTCTGCAGAGCTGAACTGCCTGAACTAAAAAGTACACTTTCAGGTTCCTCATTTGTTTTTACTATTTTACTACTTCAGCAACTACTACAATTTGTTCAGTTTCAGAAGTTACTGACTGCATTTTGCACTCCATCGTCTGAAAGGAAAATTAAAATTTCTGTTAGTTTTATACATGTGACTAACTTATGTATGTGTAATTCTGAGAATATTTCAACTTTTTTGCATATTTTAAGGAAATATTTCATTTTTTTTTTTTTTTTTTTTCTTTATCAGATAAGCTTTCCTTAGAAAGACAAAATACTGAAATTTCAACACCTCTGTAGTGCTGAAACATGATTTTCAGCCTGGCTTGAAAATGACTAGGGGGAAAGTGTGCTTTTCTCTGACACACCATTCACAGATAATTTTAAAAGAATTGGAACAAAAGGATTAACTTTATTAAGGTACATAACCAGGTGAGTACACTTTGGCCTGAAGCTTAGTTAACTGAGCAGGCCTTGAGTACAGATGTGTGCAAGTCCCACTGGCAAAGTTCATCCTGCCCAGCTGGAGAGAAGCAGCCAGACTGGGCTGTTTGTGGCTCTGTTTATGGGACATTGTGTTATTTATGTTTATAATTATGTTGGTAACAGTGTGATGCTGGTAAGGCATCCATAGGTATAAGACCTACCAGTGAAAGCATTAACCCCTGTGCCCATCAAACTCGAACAGCAGAAACCCCCTGGGGGGAGAAGAGTACTGCATTTGATATCCCTTAACAAATTCCCTGCTGATTTTCTTTCATAGTTCCTCAGTATATGGCAAAGGAAAGAGTTATTCCTTCCTTTAAGTTCCTTATCATTTAAACATTACCTTTAAACCTGCAGTATAGTCTTATTTTGCATTTCATGCATTTAATATAAAATAGAAAGAAAGCCTACCTGTGGATTTATATCAAGCTGTCCATGAAATGGATTTTTTGGCTTTGGAACTTGTGGAAATACTGCTTTCCAATAACCAGTCCTGGAATTCAAATGGGATAGAGCAAAACAGAAAAATAAAGTATCTAGCGTGTGTCAAAACCACTGCATCCTTGAACAAACTCTTATCTTCCTCCTCCAGGGGAAGAAATCTTCCTCAGAAAAGAAATGAATATTGTACATCATCATGGCACAGAATGAATACATATGAGGAAGACACTAAGAATTTAGATGGTAGTAATTTTCTTTTTGGTTAGATTTAAAATATTTATTTTCTTCTTTGAAATAATACTGTGATCACATTTAAGCCACTGCAACCAGTATAAAGTGAACATAAACTTTTAAACAAGTAGGAAGAACAGTCTTCTCTGAATTACTGCATATTTCTATACAAAGCACATGATAAGGTAGACGATCCTTTTTCTTTCCATTTCTCTTGCATAGTTTATTTCAGGAAGAAATGCAAATTTCTTATGCATTCTCAGATTAATTTAGCTTGCTAGGACAATTCTAATGTTAGAATGTTAGAAGATCTGTACTGATAAGTACAATCAGCCTGTGTGTTTGCAATAACTACATTTCAAGAAATTACATCTTTTGGCAGACAGTCTACATGTTGGTAAGAATGGCTTTAAAAAGCTGGTATCAGGAGAGGATGTTGAAACTTAGGTTTTTTTGCAGGGAAGGCTAAGAGGTGACCTCACTGTTCTGCGCAGCACCCTGAGGAGAGGAGGCAGAAGGAGGTACCATGCTCTGCTCCTGGGAACCGATTGTTATAGAACAGATCATCTTGAGTGAGATCACAGGACATGTGCAGGACAACTAGGAGATCAGGCCCAGCCAGCATGGGCTCGTGAGAGGCAGGTCCTGCTTCACCAACCTGATTTTTTTCTATGACTGAGTGACCTGCCTGGTGGATGAAGGAAAGGCTGTTGACATAGTCTACCTAGACTTCAGCAAAGCCTTTGACACTGGCTTGGACAGATACACAATTCACTGGATAAAGAACCAACTGGAGGGCTGGGCCCAGAGAGTGATGCTGGATGGAGTTGAATCCACCAGGAGCAGGGAAGCAGTCATCCTTCTGTACTCAGCCACACCTTGAGTGTTTGTTTAGTTTTGGGCCTCTCACTACAGGAAAGACATTGAAACCCTGAAGCATGTGCAGAGAAGAGCAACAATGCTGTTGAGGGGTCTAGAGATCAAGTCTTCGCAAGAACAGCTGAGGGAGCTGAGATTGTTCAGTCTGGAGAAGAGGAAGCTCAGGGAGACCTTATTGCTCTCTAAAATTTCCTGAAAGGAGGTTGTGGTGGGGTGGGGGTCAGCCTCTTCTGCCATGTAACCAGCAACAGGATGAGAAGAAATAGCCTCAAGTTGAGTGAGGGGATGTTGAGTTGGAATTAGGTTTCTTTTCCAAAAGAGTGTTGAGGTGCTGAAACAGGCCACCCAGGGAGGTGTTTGAGTCACAGGCCTTGGAGATGTTCAAAAAACATGTTGATGTGGTACTAAGGGACTTGGTTTAGTGGAGAAATATTGATGGTAGATGGACAGCTGGACTAGATGATCTTGGAGATCTTTTCTCAACCTTAATAATTCTATGATTCTGTGGTAAGTGATGAAACATAATTAACCTTCTTGCCATGTTAACAGTAGAGACTCTTGAAAAAATGTATGTGAGTCATCCAGAGACTTTAGGTATCACAATCATAATGTCTGCCTTGAGAACACCTTTTTAATTTGGCTTCTATTAGATTGTGAGTGAAAATGTGTTCAGAGGCACCTCTGCATAATTTATTTGCTTAAGAACTGCAGATGTTTCAAACATTCACACAAAATAAAATAGAAGTATAAATTCCATATACCTTTTGCAGAAGAAAATTGTAAAGATAGCTATTGAGAGTGTTGCAACTGCCACTACGGGTAAAATCCATACTGAAGAAGAAATTTCTTCATTTCCTGAAAGAGCAACAGCCATGAATCATTATTGTTAACAAAAAGTAATAAATGCACAGTCAAGCACGTACTCCGATTAATGAATGTCAGTCCAAAAGGTTTCTCCTGGAACAAAATGCAACCCTTTTTTGTTTTAGCATTTTAGCTGTACATTTTTCCAGGAGAGATTAACACCAAACCTGTTTGTTAATCCTCAGCACTAAGCAGGCATGATGGACTACAGTTTCAAATATACAACTTTTTTATTGATTTCCAAAGTTAGAATGTTAAGAGATAAACTAGTCATCTCTCTCCTTCCCAGTAATGTGCAATGAAACACAATGCTTACGTATACTTTATATTTTTCTTTGTAAGTGCACATCCATGTGTGAAGTAGTTAGGCCATAACAGGGAGAAAGATAAGTCAGGGTAAAGATTTTTTATTCTTACCAAACTCAACAGCTGCGCTCCACTCCCCCCAGTCTTTGCTCACTCTACACGTATGGCCAGCTGCTCTTATTTTCACCAGGTTCTTCTTTCTCATGTTGGGATTTTGAACTATGTGGCTTGTAATAATTTCCTAAGCAAAAAGACAAAACCACATCTAGACTGAGTTTTTCGTTGCTGAATTCCTAGATGTTGACAATGTAGAAGCTGTGTTTACCAGTGAGAGTTTTTGAGGTATGGAGGGATTGCTTGTTAGATCAGACTGCTGCTTTGGAGCAAAAAATATATGCTTGCTTTTGAAGTATGTAGTATATATGTACCTATGTGTGTATCCTTTCAAGTATAGTCTATCACTCCATAAATTTTGCTGTCTAGAACTTTCAACTTTTCAACTTCTGTTCGTTAACCTGTAATTTCTTATGAAATTACATAATCAGTAATTCTGATTTATTTATGATTTTCCTTGCTACATTTACAGAAGCAGAAAAGCATCTTGAATCATCTTATATTAGTGCTGCTAAAATTCTCTAATTCAAAGAATAAACCATCTGCATGTAGCTCATGTTTCTGTCTTTGTAATAGGGCTCCTTAGGACAAACAAAAGTTGTAAAATATTGTCAAATAAGAAGACTGCAGTACTTAGCTGTACCAGAACTTCCCAAAACATACTCTTTCTTTGGATACTTTCAGAATAGGAGTGGGAAGTGTAGGCTGCACTGAGTAGAAGAAGGTGCAGCATACCTGCAGAACTATTCCAAAGGGCTTTTTTTGGTTTTTGGGTATACATAAGTTGAATTAAATTCCTAGGAGGAATTTTCTCAATGACTTCTTTCCCTTCTGTCACTAATGTGTATTTTCAAATTCTGACCCGAACATTTGAGAGGAAGAAATATTTATGTTAAAAATAGTTATGGAACAGTAACTTTTCTGTTTTTTTTCCACATTTCTTTGAATGTATGACAAGTGACACAAATATCATAATTATTTAGCAGCTAGACACGTTTCAGAAGCCCATAAATAAAAATATCATAAAGCTTAGAACTAATGCTAGATGCAATTGTGTGCTATTTGCTTTTCACAATTGACTATGAAACGAACATACACTGCTGATAAATAGAAAAAGCAAACTTACTTTTGTATAACTTTGATTGGTCCACTCTGCAGAGTTACCCTGTATATCGAGAGATATATTTTTATGATCGCTTTTTTTTTTTGTTAAGATAGTCATTTTAATCAACTGTCTATCACCTTTCTCTGCATTACTGTCTTATCTACTTCACAGTTTGTTTTGATGAACAATTTACCTAATTTACCTAGTAATTTACCTAATACTTTATTTCTGATATGTGATTCAACTGCAATGCCAAGTTTATAGTAACTATTTCTTCTATGGAAAAGTATTTGTGTTCCTTACCATTAGAGCTGAGAAATAAATTGTATTTCAGGTTGATGCTTGAACTGAAACACAACCAAAAAAAAAAAACCACCCTGGTCTGAATGCAAACAGTAACTCTATTCTTACACACATCAGAAAAAGCCTTTAAGATCACAGAATCAAAGAATGGTTTCAGTTGGAAGGGACCCTTAGGATTATCTATTTCCAAACTGCCACTATAGGCAGGGACACCTGCCACTAGGCCAAGTTGCTCAAAGCCCCATGCAGCCTGGCCTTGAATGTTTCCAAGGAGGGGGCATCCATAACCTCACTGGGCAACCCATTCCAGTGTGTCACCATTTTCACAGAAAATAATTTCTCCTTAATAACTAGTCTAAATCTACCCTCTTCCAGTTTAAAGCCATTTCCCCTATTGCTACATGCTCTTAAAAAAAGTCCCTCCCCAGCTTTCCTGCAGGTCCCCTTCTAATACCGGAAGGCTGCTTTAAGTTCTCCTGGAATCTTCTCCATGCTGAAAAGCCCCAGCTCTCTCAGCCTCTCCCCATAAGGGCTCCAGCCCTCATCTTTGCAGCTCTCCTCTGGACCTGCTCCAACAGCTCCATGTCCTCTTTGTTTTGGGGGCCCCTGAACTGGATGCAGTCTCCAGGTGGGGTCTCAAAACAGCAGAGTAGAGGGGCAGAATCACCTCCTTGACCTGCTGGTCACACTTCTCTTGATGCAACCCAAGATAAAATTGGCTTTCAGGGCTGCAAGCGCACATTGGCAGTTCATATTAAATCTTTCATCAACTGACACTGCCAAATCCTTCTCCCAGGACTGTTCTCAAGCCATTCTCCACTCAGCCTGTATCTGTGTTTGGGATTGCCCTAACTCAGTTGCAGGACTTTGCACTTCACCTTGTTGAACTTCATGAGATAAGCTTTTCTTTTTAAATCTATTATTTATATCTTATAAAAACACAAAACACTATGCTGAATTGTAAATGCCACGCAAATGATGTTTCTTTTCCCTCAGATGAAATCATTCAGAAGTGATTTGGATTCATAAATATTTCATCTACATTTCTGATAGAAAATAAAATCCCATATCTCTTCTGTGTAGGTATAATGACTAATGTATAGCATATTGACCACACACTACTAACAATTGGCAGGCTAATAATCAACATCTCCACTATCCTGTGGGTTTGGGGTTTTTTGTTTGTTTTTAATTACTTTCAGTCTTGTTTTTTTTTTTCCTACTGTAAAACAAGAAGAAATCAGATCAAATATTTCTTCAGAAAATAATAGTGCTCATGTGGCACCTGAGCATGTGTTGCAAAGCATGCTGCTGTACAAGAGAGCAGGTCCTTGAATCCCTAAAGCAGCTACCTTGAGCAGAGGGGGAAAATGGAATCATGTAATCTCCCTTTAGTGTTTTTACTGATGTCACATACGAGAAAGAAAGATGATAACAGAATTAAAGAACCATAGGGATTAGAAGAGACCTTTGGAGTCAATCCAGTCCAACCTCTCTGCTAAGCAGGTTCCCTACATCAGGTCACACAGGCAGGCATCCAGGTGTGTTTTGAATATCTCCGGAGAAGGAGACTCCACAACTCCTGAGGGCAGCCTGTTCATGGTCACTGTGTTATCCTTTTTGTTTTCTCTCAATGCAAGTAATTTCCAGTTGTAAAATAAAGTTTAAAAGTTGATTGTAGCACAAATATATTTTGGTTGCAGTATATTAGCAATGCAATATTTCTCTATAAAACGATATAAGCAAAATCTTGGTCTCACTTTATCCTTTGCAATTGGAAAGCAATACATTTTGCAATGCAGTATTTGGTGGACTTTGATGAAATTAGTAACATGAAAACTGCTGATAATTTCTTATGGAAATACGAGGCAGTTTGGACACCATATGAATTGAATATTCTTTGTAACCTGGTATTAATCATGTTAAAAAATAAAGAATTCTGTATTGCTTTACTGTGATTTCTCTTTATGTCAAAGTCACACAGAGCTCAGTATAAGGACTTAATTGCTACGAAGGCAAAGGGATTGGAAGAAGCCGTAAGGTTTTATAGCAGCAATCATCTGGGATCATCTGTGAATTAGCAAACCGCCTCCAGACTCAGCTTGGAGCAGTAACTCCAGAGAAGGACGGCGCCAGCCGCCCAGTGGCCGCGGGGTTGCAGTACAGGCAGGCTGTTCCTCCCCAGCTGCCATCAGCCACCTCTTGGTCGCCTGCCGAAGTTCTGCCAGAGGTGTAGTGCATATACTCTTCTTCCAGCTGGACCCCTCAGTCTGTCACTCCATCCTCACTCCTTTTTGCTCCCAAAGACTGGTCGAGTCTTTCTGCTTTCTCTCTCACTTGTTTTCTTTTACTTAACATTATACATCTCCAGCTGCTATGGTGTCTGGTAAGCTAGTTACATTTTGAATTAGAAATTTCAGCCTCTTCCATACATTCATACTGCTTAACCAAATCACTATTTCTTCACCCCGTACCTGCAGCCCAGATGCAGTCACCACTGGAAAGAAGTGAACCTCAGCAAAAGAAAGTACTTTTTCTAGTTTTGTCACTGCCAAATCTGTAATATGTTCAAGTTGTGATTAGCCATAAAGTGGGATAAAATGGGACAGTACAGTTTCACAACGTGCAAGAAAGGCACGACAGTGAAAAATAACACTGCATATGAGGAAGTCTACATGATACAAGAGGTTTTCTTTTTACCCATGCATATTAGAAAATGTAAAAATTTGCATCGATGTTTAATGTAGGTCTAGAGATTCCTCTTACCTTGGATGTTATTTCAACTTCATATTTAAAACATCTGTCTTTTTTAGAGTGATTTATTTGGGGTTGTTGCCATCGAATAGTGCAAGAATGTGAATTTTCGTCACAACTGACAGTGACATTTGATGGAGGCATGAGTTTTTCTGAAATGATAAATTCAAGAATTCAAATATTTAAAATCACTTAATAGTTTTTGATTTGATTAAAAAAAAAAAAAAAGAAGAATTGTGGGTAACATTTCTGTGAATAAATATATTTATTTGCATTTATTTTTATTGAGCACTGTGTTAGAAGACCAGAGTTCTCTATATCCTGTCTCCAGGAAAAGAAGTAGGAATGTGGTTCAGGGAGAGCAATCTGATGTTAATCCTAATGTAAGAATTCTGAAGGTTATTTCATTCTTTAAGCTTTCTCATTTAACTCTTCTGTGACATGACCATATGGCTTGCTTGGTGTTATGAACCAAGCAGCTTATTTCTCCTCCAAAAATAACCATACGGATTTAAGAATGGCACTTCAGTTTTAAGAATCTAGAACTTCAGACATCTCCCCTACTTTCACAAACCTGGGCAAAAGTACAGATACTTTTGCATTTTGATCATACCCAAGGACTTAATATCTATTTTAACAGCAAAGGACAAGCAGACACTGATGACTAAAGGAGTGATAAAACAATAATAGAGGGAATGGTTTCAGTTAGACTATCTTGCATCAGTCTTTACAGACAAGACTGGTCTGTTTGTGATGGGCTGTTTGGTCAAGAAGCAGTTTTATTTAATTTCTCTGAGTAATAGTACAGCTTACTTCCTTTTCTTTATAGAATGAAGCTATGCTTCTTGGTGGCACTATCTGGTGTCTCTTTAGTAGAAATGTCTTTGGCCATCACTGAAAAAGGTAGTGGTGTGAAATGCCATCTCCAAAATTCCATCGATGTATATGCAATTCAAGTAGATTGCTGAAAAAAGCTGAGAAGGGCCACAGCTGTAAAGAATCCTTGCTTATTTTCTTCATGGCTCTTTCATTAGGTAGCTGCTTTTCTTGAAAAAGCCACCGTCTCTCAGTCTCTCACATTTTACTTTAGGAATACAGGTGAGACAATGTATTTTTACAGATGATAAAGGAACTGACCTTGAATGGAAGAACTGCTGATGCATACCCTGTATTTTTTCTAGCTCAGTGTTTATGTTGTATGATACATGTCAAGTAATGGTGTTATTCCATATAAGAAAGGATGGAAAAGCAGCAACTATAAAGAAAACCTTGATCCAAAGCAGTAACATTTTGAGAAGTTAAACAAGGAAGAAGTCTGAAGGTCACTGAAAAAAAATACTAAGTAAATAATAGTTATAATATAGTATTTTTCAAAGGACCAGGGAGCTAGAAACACCAGCCAGGATAAATTATTCAGAGCGATTAGAAAAGGAGGGCATATACTGCTTCTTTTGTCATCGCAAGGATAATGAGTGAAAAGAGACTTCAGGTCTTGCCTGTACAGATACCACTCTTAAGAAAAAAAAATGTTATGTCCAACAATGCTGGTAAATGAGTAGATGTGTTCTGAACTGAAATGTAGAAAGTCCATAAAATGAAAATGGTTACAGATTCTATGGGGAAGTAAACTGAAGCTAAATTCTGCAGCCAGACACTAAACGCAGAAATAAGATAATTTTTAACAGCTTTAAACATAATTAAAAACAGTGTGAAAGCATTTACAAAGCCAGTGTTCACCATCTTTAGGATAATAATCAGCTAAATGAGTTGACAGACCGAGTAACACATTTCACCTTAGCTGCACAAGTAAAGATAGAACTAGAGATTTCAATGAGAATTTAGGAACTCTGGTTTTAACATCCAATGGATTTGAATGCCTGCATGGTTTTTAGATAAATGACACTCAAGCCAGAAAATCCTCACTCTCAACGTAAGAATTGTTAGGATGGTCAGACTTCTCTTAACAGTTATTTCAGAATGTTACTACTACCTCTTGTGGTCTGTTTCTGAACTGTATTTTTGCCAGCATCAATGATAAGACCAAATATTTTCAGAAAACAGGAAAAACTGTCATGTGGGGAGACAATTCTGTCTGACTGCAGGCTCTGTCTCAGTGATAAATGCTCTATTACCCTCATGCAATAGTAGAAATAAAACAAAATAAATAATTTACTCACCAATTGTATATAGGTCAATATTTGTGTCGTAGAACTGGATCAGGGAGTTTTTGCTAGACCCATTCACCAAAAAATAGGATTTCTCTATCTTCACGTTTTTGAATCTACATCCCACATGTCTGCCATTTTCGTCTTCAATGTAAAGCTCACATTCCATTACGTCATCATCTCTATAGATAATATAACACACACACACACACACATATATATATATATCTCAAAGAGTTTTAGTTAAACACGGGTACTGTGATGTGTTAAGTGGGAATTCAAGACTCAAGAAGACCTACTCACCTCGAGTTCTGCCAGTAGAGAAAATATTGAGTATCTCCTGGAGCATTCCTGCCTGCCTGCCAAGTGCAGTTCATGAGGGAAATGTCATAAATCACACAGGAGAAGTTCTTAATGGCTGACCCATTAATGCCTGCAAACACAGCAATGTCCATTATGAGGAAAAAATGTGTGGATTGCTCCAAAGTGGAGGATCTTGGCACATGCTTAGATACAGCAGACACCTGCAACTGCAATTATTGTTTTGATTAGGAATGGTAAACATCATTTTACGTTGCTGCATTGGAAGATATTTAGACTGACAGATCTTGTGAAGAATCTGATGTAGCTATGTCCTCCAAAGATATGACTGAAGTTGCATATGACAGGATTAGGCTCCATGAAGACTAGGTTGCCATAATGCAGGCTGACACCTAAAGTGGCCACCTCTGTTGCTTGAATTATTCTGGTTTCTGAGATTAACATCACCAGATCACAAACACTACAAATTACTCTTTAACTCCTAACTCCAACAGAGGCTAACAAGGAGAATAAACATGTCTTTTAAAAAGAAAGAATGGCTTAGCCCTCCTTTTATAAGGAAACAATAATTTCTTTGAGCTTGATGAGACAGGAAGTAGCGTCATTGTGTATATTCCAATTATATGTTACTTAAATCAGCAAATATTGTACCTCATTATCTTAACACTCTCATATCTGTTATCTGTCTCATATAAAAAAGGGCAGATTCTGTCAGACTTTTTGTTATCATAGATTGGACACTACAAAGTGACACCATGAGAATTCAAGGTATCACACAGTTCTAGAAAAATTTAAAAAACCACAGCCACACACCTATTTCAACTTGATTTTGAATAATACAGGAAAATGAAGCTAATAAAATATTCAGAAGAGAATTTGCAATTAAGAAAATGTTGCCAAGCAAGACATTAACCAAGGGCAAAACGTTTACTGAGTTTCCTACAAGTTGTAGGAAAACAGTTCACTTGTCCAACATACATTGCCATAAGGATATGAACAAGGAGATATCATTTCCAGGAAATAGAATAACTAAAGAAGGAAGCACTTCATGGTTGTTGTTTTTTTTTTACACTCAGGCCCATTAGAAGTATGCAAATCCTTTCCCAAAGTCTAGTGCATTACCTTGAGGAATATACTTGCATGTGACTGAGTATGTACTGTTAGTGCTCTCTGCTTTAACCGAAAAATTTGCCCCGTTGTGCAGAGGATATGCTAGATTTCTTCCAAAGATGCAATTTGTATTCTTTTCCTGAAAAATTACATTCAAGTGGTTAATTTTTAACTTTTTCAACTAACAGTTTATGTAATACTCCTGTAGAAAGCCTGTGCTTTCTGTGTAACACTGGGTCCGCTACTAGAGTGAAGTACTTATATCTCCCTAAGACAGAGAGCTCCCTTCCTAGAAATGTTGGATAATGAGCCTTTATCAGCATAAGGTGAAGACTTTGATGCTTCCCATCAGAAAATCTCATGACAGAGTAGTGTGAAGAATAGGAACTCCTCCTCTCTATCCATCCATCAGCATAAAAAATCTTTTGAACCTCCTCAAAATGAAGCATATGTTCTTTTGTAAAAATCAACAGATGGCTTTTCTGTACTTTATTCTCATTTCAAAGACAAAGGGAGATAGCCCACAAGTGACTGCTTGGGTAAGGAGATGGCTTGAGGTTAATGTCTAGTAGAATTAGATTTCTTAATGTTAGCAGCCAATTTGAACAAATCATATAAGTGCCTTCTGTATTTAGTGGTAAAGGACACACGTATTTGCATCTAAGATGCATGGGATACATTTTCTCCAGGCAGGACCTATATCTCACTGGTAGCTTTTATCAGAGTTTTGAAGACTAAGGTTTCCATGCTTAGATAGTTGAAATGAGGGTGACATGACTATTCTAATCTGTGATCATTGATGCAGATGCTAGAACTACATGGAGTATTAAAAGATTCCCCAGAAGTTAGACTTCTGGAAACTGCTTACAGAAACAGTAAATGTGGTATATATTTTGCACACTGACAGAGCAGCATAGCATAAAATGCTTATTCTTTATTTGTGCAAAAAAGGATGTCAAAACCAGTATTTCCTGATACAGTTCCCGTTCCTGAACTTTAGAGGTAATCAAGTCAGTCTGATGCACAAGAGATATTGACCAAATAGACTGTGACATTACTGCAGCTGTGGTGTCTAGAGGAAGAGAATTTGGTGAATATTGGAGTAATGTATGTATTTAGGAAAAAAATATTCCCATGAGTTCATGACTAGCTTTGAAGAACATAGCAGTCTTCAAAAGAAAACCTATTCTGGTTAATACATGTAGTAATTACAAAACAGGGAAAGGTTTAGCTTGCCATCTTCTCTGCATAAGAGCTGAAAACAGACTGAACCTGACAAAGAAATCATCTTTCCATAACGTCAGAACACTGTCCAAGTAATCCATTCTGAGTTCCATGTCTCCTGTCAGCTATCAAAATGTTGGAGCTGTATTAAAAAAAAACCCAAACCAAAAATATATAATGTCTATATATATATATCTTATTTTTCTTTTTTAGCTATGCATATAGGTTTCCTGCTCTCCTGGGATAAGATGCAAGACAGGCATCTGGAACATGCTGTCCTGCAGAGTGATCTAAAGTGAATGCCTTTCAAGAATGTCTAGCTACAGAGCTGCTGGATGCTCAGGCCCTTTTTTTTTTTTTTTTTCCTCCAGGTTTTGGTTCAGTTTGTCTATTCAAATGTGCCTACTGTGTTTGAAATAACCAGCTTGGATCCTAGGAGCCACTCCAGAAAAATTGTTCCTTCACAAACTTCTATGTCACATGAGTCTCAGTTCTGAGCTAAACTACAGCTCCAGTGCCACCGACCACTTATTAAAGTAAGTCAGAGCACATATGTCTAACTCAGTTTCTCCTCTATACATGAAAATTCTCATCCATACAGCATGAGATGCCTCTCAGTGAAGTTCCTTTGAAACCAGGAAAACAGGCAGTCTTATGCTTCAGTCTCATCAAGATCCTGGTCCCACAATAGTCCTCACAGGGCAAGAATTTCATGAGAATTGTCAGAGGACAGACACATATCAGTATCAAGATGGGCCTCAATAAAAACTAAAAAGAATGGCTAAAACACAGACTATCTTTTTTTCAGTTATTCAAGAATACAAAAGATAAAGAATAAAGTGTAGTGATTTATCTCTGTTGATATTTTACATAGAAAATTTACCTGTATTTCGACCACATTATTATATACTGACATAGAACAGTTGTACTTAGTGAAATTCATGGTGCTGATCCAACTCAGTTCTGTTTTCCACCAATTCAGCATCAAATTTTGGATGGGTGAATCTGACATCTCCCCTGAAATTAACACATAATAGGGATCGATTATATTTGGATTTTTGAGGTATAGAGGTTACTACTTACCAGATCTAAGACAAAAGGCAACTGGGGGACAAATATGTCTAAAGAGAAGCATGTTACACTTCACCTAAGAGGATATCTGCAGGAAGTGTTCTACTCACAATTTGTACACTGCCAATCATCATACATCTGGGCAACCAGCAGCATCCACTGTGTCATGAAGATGAGTCCAAGACAAGCAAGCATCTTTTCTTCCTTGGAGACAGAAAGCAACAAAAATTGTCCAATATGACAGATATCAGAGCAAACTGCTGCCCTCTGAATTGGTCTGGTCATATCTGCTCACTTTACCTGCTTCCAAACTGTCTGCCCATCTCAGTTCTTGTGCAAGAAAAGATTATATGGATGTTTCAAGCAGCCAGGGAATCTTTAAAATGGATAGTAACAAGATCAACAAAGTTGTTTTTCACTGCAGCGAAATAATTTGTGTGATGATTTGTAAAGCTATTGATTTGGGAACAGCTCTAGAAATTCTACATACATTCGCTGATGACTGCCATCTTAAGGTCTAAAGATTATCTATCAGGATGAGTAGACCTCAAGCATGTGGGTAAACAGCTGCAAATAGAAAATATCAGAATTTGTCACAGCAAAATCGATTAGCTCTAGATACTCAGTGATCAGTATGTTAAATTTGGTTAGCTCAGCTAGTATACTTCCAAGTGTATTTTTTAGTATACATGCATAAAAGTAGATCTAGGAGCAGCATCTAAGTTTATTACAAATACAATGCCAAAACCAGAAAGAAAATAAAAAAATGTGGCTAAAGAACTTTCTTGGCAGGCAGTAGATATCTTGCTTGCAAAAATCTTTATTCAACTCAGCTCCATGTATTTCTCTGCCAGCTTCTGAGATTATGCCTGGATCATCGGCCCTCCAGCCCATGGCTTCCTGTATCTATCTCAGAACATTACCAAATGCTCCCATAAACAAAACAGAAAGACAAAGATAGACATACCTTGTATTTGAAAACTTCTTTGTCTCATTTATCTTTGTATCATAGTCTTGAGGCTCAGAGAAAATGGAAAGACTCGCAATTGCAATGGTTATACAGCTACAAATAGGGCTGCCTCCTTGTCTTCTACATTTTAGGGAACACTCATATTATCGGAAGTGTTGCAAGATGTGATGCTCATCACTTCCCTTCTGATTGTTACAAAATCAAGAGTCTTAGCAATTTTAAAACCCACATTTCATGCAATATGAACAAGTAGTTAGCTGTTAAATTTTCTTTTTTGTTGTATAGAATCCGGTAATACTTCGGAATCCAATAAATATGTAAAAACATTTCCTCTCAGAGATATTTATCTCTGTCTGTAAATAGTTATTAGTTGTACAAAGCGTGACTCAATAAAAAGCATATCCTTCCATGGGCCAAGCATGCTGCCCCTGGTGCTTGAGGACAGGCCCTCAAGGCCAGGTGTCATCCAAGAGCACTACCAGGAGCAGGCAGCTGGGGATGTGGGGGCGCTCACAATGGTGGGCCCAGCTGAGCAGGGGCCATGTCAGGGTTGGGCAGGGCTGTATTGAGCTGGAGCTTGGCCACTATGCAGTCTCGCTGTGGCAGGGGCTGGTGGCCCTAGGGTGATATTTTAAGGAGAATGGAAAGCGATAAAATTAGAGCCATAACAAATGCCAGAGAGAATCTAATGGAGTTTAGAAAATTGAAGGAAGACAGTTTCTGTGCATCTGCCTCTCTCTCTCCTTTCTTTTTGAGAGAGATCTTTTGTCTCCCTCTTCCAGTAGCATAGTTCCCAGATTGTTAAGCAGTCTCCCACCCCATTCCTGCAGCTGATATCTCCAAAGCAGGAGCTCTGCTCCCACTCTGGCACCTCACACTGCAGAAGAGAAGGAAAGGTGCTGAGGTGAGCCCAGAGATAGGTGGAAAGGAAGAAGGCTGGAATCAATTCCACCAAAGTTGCATTTGTTGATCCTGCACCACTTTAAGGATGGTGTTTAAGGTCAGCTGATGCTCTGAGGGGGCTGTATTTCCACACGCCTACAGACATTTCCTGGGAGAAGCAGTCGGAGCACAAGCCCATATATGGCTGTGGCTGGATGGCTATGCAGTGCCTGTATGTGACTCAGCTGCTCATCACGCTGGTGCAGATGCGGTGGGATGCTGGACAATTGCATTTTCTGTGTGCCTAAATTTGGTTCTGGGAAGTGCTGTCAACTTCCAGATTTAGAGTCCTCCCAATTAATGTGTTAGAATGAGTGAACAAAGAGAAACTGATCCATGCAGCGCTGGGTTCCTTCTCTCCAGTGCAACACTACTTCATGGTTACTTGAGCCTTATGTTCCCACTCTGAAGAGCTCCCAGGCTTATAGCAAATAGTAGAAGAGCAGCACTCTTTGGTACTTTCTGAGATGATGCATCTAAGCAACACATTGAGGAAGTAGGGGTTTTGAGGTTTTGGGGTGCGAACACTCTTTTTTTTTTTTTTTTTTTTTTTTTAACTAGAATGTATTGTAGGAGAACAAGCCAAACAACCCACAAGGACAGTACTGTTACCACCACAAAGAAGCTCTGTTACCCAGGGGATTTCTTTGCTTGTCTGTATTTAGGGCAAATCCTTCCTGAGATTTTTAAAAATATAAACAAATTTAAAAATAAAAAATCACTAAGCAAAACTGTTGCATGTTGATGATATTATCAAAGCCTTGAAGTCCAAGAAACCTGTGTGGAGTGGCCTTACTGTAACCCAGCAGGTGAAAAATAGGCTCTTTTCAGAATTACAGAGGTAGTGAGAATGTATTCAGCTTCTCAGTTTTTTGAGTTCCATGATGATCCTGCCACTGCCAGATCAGAATTAACACAACTTTCCTAGAAAGTCCTAAAGCTTGAAGAATATTTTATTCATCCAACAGCAATAGGAGTGCTCACAAGAGCTGTCTAAACATTTTTTATGGCAATATATGGTTCTTGTATATATTGCAACATTCTTCTTGGTACTTGCACTACTTCCTTTTTTTTCAGAAAATGATGTTTTCCACAGAACAAAGGAATAGCAAGAGGGGACCAGAATACAAGACTTCTGTCTGTGTGAACATCTGAATCAGATAGTTGGAAGGTTACATATCCTGACTACCCTTTTCCAGTGATCATTACTTTGGGTCTTTGCCCAAGAACAGGAAAGAGATGCTGTAATCCCAACTACTCCTACCTCCTCTATCTCATGAATAGGACTTCTGTTGTTCTCATCAGGAGATTAGAAGTGAATTTCAGGTTTCTGAAGGGGCTTTGCAGCCTCAACAGCTTCCATAGTGAAAGCCAAGAGAGTGTAAATAGTTCACTAACAGTCATGATTGTGAAACAGAACAGAAAGGATCCAGTAGACCTTATGTGTTTTGACTTCCATGGTAAGTTTTGGTTTTAGCTGGACATTTGTGATGCAGAAGTTCTTACTGTTAATACATTATAATTTAAAGACTAGGCTCCTTTTCAACTTCTATTTCTAAAGTTATCCAAAAGAAATTGTCCATAAAAACTTATTTATAAACATGGAATCAAAAAAATCTGGCTTCAAAGGAAACATCTTGATCATGTGGGCTAGCAGATGTTTATCACTATCACTATCACTGAATTTTGTCTATTAAGATGGGATTTCAGCTGCCTGAAATGACTTTAACCATCCTGAAATCTGCTGGAAGGGCAACATGGCAGGGTACGGAGAATTAGATCATCAGGAATCATATCCACAGATGCTGGACAGACCAAATGCAGAAGGTACTCAGTTGGATTTGTAACTCATCAAAGAAGAGTTGGTCAAGGATATGACAGTCATTGGCAATCCTGACTGCAAGGACCGCAATGTGGTGGACTTTAAGATCCTAAGAAAAAAGGGGATGGCAAATAGCATAATATATATGTGAGATGTCATGAGCGTATTGCTTAGCTTGCCTGCCAGCAGCCTAGATTTATCTTCCATATATCCTTTGTCCTCTTCCTGTGGTTTGGATGTCATGACACAGACTACAGTTCCTCCCTTTGAGTCTCAAGTAACCTCTCTAACAGTTCTTGGCATCTGCTACCTTTGCCCTACACAAATTCTTTTATGCCAGAGCCATCCTCTCATAACTCATGAACTCAGATCTCCGTGACCTGTGGCCCCGATTGCTTCCTTCTGACACTGGGGATTTCCTATGTTGCAGAAGATGCCTTGGTGCCTGTCGGATGGACTTGGTTTACATTACGGCATTACTCCAGGCACGTTTCTCTCCAGCCAGGGTTATACTCTGGGCAGAAGTGAAATTCTCATTGGAAGCTCCAGTTCGATGAAAAGAAACTCATGCTTCTTCAGTTAAATGTATCCATATTGAGCATTTTTTAGAATCTGGCATATTTTTTTCTTTCTCTCATCAGCACCTCTCCTGTTTTACAAGGATGCAATTTGAACATGCAAGTCATTTGAGACATTCCAGTGTGCCAGGGTTCATTTTATGGTTGTGTTTTTGTTTGTTTGCATGCTTGCTTGTTTTTTTGTTTTGTTTTGTTTTTTTTTTTCTTCTTCATATCAAATTCATTTCAGAAGTAGTTGTTTTAGAAATTTCAAATAAGGCATTGGAAAAGCCAGTCAGGAACAGGATTGAACAGAATTGCTTAGTAGGCATAGGAGTTCTTCAGTATTTATTCTTGAGGGAGACTTAGGTAACGCTGACATGAGAAAAAATAGATCACTTATAACAGAAATGTAAGTAGCTCAGCTCTTGTAACCCTGTAGCTCAGTAATATGCTATTTCCATTACTAATAACAGATCATTGAGCAAATATCTGTAGCTTTTTGGGTTTACATTTACCTTTGTGTGCTATTATCAAGGTACCATTGCAGTATAAGCTTGGATGACTGCCAAAGTCTTCAGGAAGGGATACACAGGATATGGCAATGAGGTATACAAGCATGGGGGAGATAAGAGATGGAACGTAGGCATGGCACTGGGCAATACATGACATCTAACTCGTGGTTTTCCCAGTCTAAATGATTCATCTGTTGAAGTGCAATGTATGATTAAAATCCATATTAATGATTCTGTTTGACATCTCCTTACTAGTTAGAGTATTCCACTAGTTGGAGTATATAACTCAAAATACTTACAGAAATTATATATTATTTCCAAGCAAATAACACAAAGTTTTTTTAATGATAGATTATAGAAGACTGGCCTGATCAGGCAATGCTGTTACATCTGCTTACAAGAGGGAGAATATAAAAAACCTGTAAATTAATGCCAACAAGTACATATATAATCATTTGCATGAAAAAAGAAAGTTCTCTTCTTTTGCATGCCATTATGCTTCTTCAATAATTGTTATTATTTCTTCAGTTTCATGCTTTATGAATTGATTCTCTGTCTATTAAAAGAAAAAAATATTTCATTAACATTTTATGCATGCGATTGATCACTAGTTTATAATTTTGAATCTTCATTACTCAAATTGTTATTATTTATGTATTATATAGAAGATGTGGGATTCTGGCAATGAGAGGACTGGAGTAGATGAGTATATATCTTCCCTTCATGATGAGATCCCCAGAAAAAACCAAAGAAGTTTTACAAAAGTGACTCTGGATCTAACAAAGGAAAGTTCATGTGACTAAGGAAATGAAAGTAGGATTTATAGAAGCTTCCAGTATGTCCTTGTAGGCATATTCTTGCTTCCAGACCTGCTCATTGCCAGCTGAAATACTGTTTGAATTGTTGCAACCAAGCATTTTGCACAATGCTTTCCAGACTGGCAGTTCTCTCATTTTTACTTGTGATATTTTCCTTGTTCTCATAAGTCTCTCAAGCACTCTGCACAGATCAAAACCTCTCAGCGTTCTGCTATACTTTTTTGCTTGTCATATCCTGGAAAATTCTCCTCCTTCAGCAGCATTGCCAAATACAAATGTGGTCTCAACATCTGCTATGTGAGAAGTATTTTTAACCAGAAGTAAATTTCTCTGTGTCTCTCTCTGCGTAGCTACCAGCCGTCTGGATCTACATTATTATTGTGCTGAGAAGCTTAGGCTATGGAGAGCTCGGTGAAATGGCTTATTTAGCCAATACCAAATATCTTTGAATGGAAAAGGAGAACCAGGAGAATTGCTTGTATACGGAGCTCATCTTTTGATACCCCAACAGAAGAAAAAGAAAGAAATATATTTTGTGCTTATATACTTTTATCTGACACTTAGTTCATATGGTTGAGACTGCAGTGGATCCTTCTTTACAAAAAAATTCAGAGAAATGGAAAGAAAACATACCTGGAAATTCACTGGAGAGATATCGTGGAATAGGTCTTTTGGCTGTAGTACAATAGCAGGTACTGTTTTTAAATAAATGGTTCTACAGGGTCAAAAAAAGGTGGAGAAGAAAAGACTCAATATACAAACTTATAATAATGTTATTCTATTATTGTAACAGTGAGGCCTTATTTTCTTTCTCTGAGACAAAAATAATGAAAAGGTATCTAAAAATTGTGAGTCAAAACCAGTGGCATCAGTTCATTGTTCAGAATTTGAATTTTTGCAGTTTATTTTATGACTAGTTAAAGAATTACAGGAAGTTGCTTTTCTTTATCCTCTGAAACAGAAATATCCTTAAACCAAGGCAGAAACTAAAGAGGAATTGATCTAAGACCTCATATCTCTGTTGGAAGGAGTTGTGCTGTATTGATCAAGTAGATAAAAAAACATTGGGAATCAGAAATACAGAGCTCACTTGATATTCTATGGCCAGGAGGTCATGATACCTGCTATAATTCAGTATCACCTTTCCCCCTGTCTTCTCTACTTAAGAGATATCAGAACATTTCTGCTGGGAAAAAAGAAGAGTTATTATACATTAGAATCCAGAATACAAGTTTTGCACAAGAAATAAGACTTACATGATGCAGAAGAAAAGTACGAGACTTGCTGCTATTGCTGATATCAGAAGTAATGTGTATGATGAAATAGATGTCAGTTGTTCTCTTCCTGAAAGACAATAATCATCAAAGTGTTTAGTATCACAAAATAGGAAAGAATGCACCTATTGCACTATGTAAAGCATCTTCTCTGATGCATGATGGCATTTCACAACATCGTGCCATTACTTCTTCCTTGGCCTAGCTTCTCATTGCCTTGTAATATGAGAAGGAATGGGATGGCAGACAGTATGTCCTCAGCAACTTGACGCTTTACCAAACATTTTGTGAGGAACAGAGTCTACATATTATTTCAAAATCTAAGGTGACAGAGAACAGGTGAAATGATAGGTCTGTGAAAACTGAAGGAAAACAGATGGCAGCAGAGACTTGAAAAAGATGTGCATTATCTGCTATCTTCTTGCAAGAAGTATTGACTGTCACAGCAGAACGATTGGAAGCCTCCCTCATATTGAGAGATATGCCACTTCTTTGCTCCTTTTCATCTTAGCAAGTTGAAGGGATGTGCAAATTTAAAAGTGTTTCCACCTGGGAAGTAATAAGCGAAGCAGACAAATAATAATTAAGAGAAAATTATGTCAAGAAAATGATTTTCATTCTTACCAAACTCTACTGGTGTACTCCACTCCCCCCAGTTTTCACTCACTAAGCAGTCATTGTTAGTAGCTCTGATTTTGACGCTGTACCTTTCATTTGCATTGAAGCTGTCAAATATATAGGAATTTCCTGTGATGATTCTTTCCTAAATATAAAACAACTAGACTGAGAGCTTTGCTTTCACTAGATGTACAGATGTAAACACAGGCATCTGCTTCATTTAATGATGTAAACAATCACAGAATAAATTTTTTTACATAATTCTGTGGACAGATGAATGATATTTTTCTTCCTCCTTTATAGTGACTTAATCTTTCAGGTAGTATTTTTCTGATTCCTTCATCCCAACCCCCATCCTGAGACCATTTATGAAGTAAAATTCTCCACAGTTATCTGAATTTTGTGCCTTCAATCATAATGTGAAATTATGATAATATTTCTACATATGCATGAATTTGCTAGGAAGTACAATGAGCTGTAAAATGGAGGATGCGTGACTTGCATAGACGTAACTTCCATGTATGCAAGTATTGTTTGTGCCATGTCTTATAAACAAAAATATAAAACTGTACTGAGGAAATTTGCTAATAATAAGCATACATACTATATTATACACTAGTATCCAGAAGCGGAAGCGATTTGACTGCAGGATGTTCTTTTACTGTTGGCTTTTCAACCCAACATAAACTTTAGACTAATGTCGTAACAGACTTACCGTTTTAGATGTGTTTTTGATTCTTTCCTCAGGATCAGCCTAGCAACAACAAAGAACTTCAATTTTTATGGTTGTTCCTTTTGTTACTATTTAATAAGATGTCCTACCTTGTAAATGGTTGATTTTTTTTTTTTAAAGAGTACATTTCATATTTTAAATGCTTTTCTTTATACACTGTGAAATTAAGCTGTTCTTCCACAGAAACATTTTTCCTCATCACCTGTGCTCTGAAATAATGAACTCTTTAAATGGGAGTGCAGAACTGAGAATCAAACAACTGAAAAGCAATAACAAAAGAAGCTTTTTTCACATGCCCTATGTGTGAAAGATGTATGTCTTACTTGTACTAAAAAAAAGCCTTGAAAAATACTAGCAAACTGTTACAATTTTTTTTCCCCTTAAAACTGTGTATGTGTAACTTTTGCATTCATAGTCATTTAATTCAGCTACGTTATGTCTCCCTTAGTTATTTATTTATTTACTTATTTGCTGTTGGACCAAAGAACTCATGACTACTTCCACAAATATTTCAAGCAGTATTCTTGATGGATAATACACTACTGACCTTATTCATCCAAATCTTCAAAATAGTTGCAGTTAATGAAATGCAAAATAACAATCATTTCACGTTAAGATCTGGAAAACCTGGATATTCTGTTTCAGTGATATGATAGAATATTTCATTTTATTCAAAAACATAGCTGAATATTTCCAATTGAAATTAAAAAGAAAGGACAACGAACTTAAGGAAAACAAAGACAAAACCAAGCACGTTTTAAAAAGGCACCAATACAAAGAATTGATGTGTATTGCTACCACAAAGAAACGTTCGCGACATCTGCAGTGCTGTTCACAATCCTGACAGTATATAAGATGCAGACTTACTTTAGCTAAGCCTCGGAATTGGATGAGATACAAACTTCAAGGTCAATCAAATGGTTAGTGCAATCTGGCAGAGATGTTTGTTTATACAAAAACTGCATCCGAAAGAAACACACAGCTCCAGTTAACAGCAAAACTAGAAACACAGAACAAAGAAACAAACAACAACAACAAAAAAACTAGGAAGTACTTTGCACAGACAGTGCTATGAGTGCGCTAATTGATGCTGTCTGCGTTATCTGTGTAAGCCATCTACTTTTCTTTGAATCACTCACTTCCTCTGGTGCTCTGCAAATGAGTTTAACTTCATATATTTCCGGTCCTTAAACCAGCTAGCTACATTGAAATTCAATCTTCTGGCAATTTTGAGCATTCACAGCAATCCAAGAATTCCAGTTATACAATGAATTTACAACCCAAACCATGCTACTGCCCAACTTTATTCTGAAACAGAAATACTTTCACTGTTATTTGGTCAGTCAACTTCCATATGTAGCAAACTGAAGAAGGCTAAACTAATGTATCTTTTGAAGAGTTGACAGTGGTGAGGGGGAAAGTTATGTTCTATGTTTGTGCTAGAATAACTGTTCACCCCTGGTACAGAGAATCCTCGACCAGTTCCTTTAATGATCAGCCATACGTTGGACTGAAAGTATTCCTGTGAATGGCTGCATTTATGTGTGAGTGGCAGCTGTTCTCAGCTCACATGCAAGGGTTCTACATAGAAAAACAGAGAGGTAACTCAAGAAGAGAAAAGAGAGAACAGTGCACTTGTTGTATGATAGCGCAGGTTGAAACGCAGGTGTATGAAATAATGTTAGGAGTTATAATTCACTCTCCTTACCTTCTTTTCTATGATAATTTCATATTTGAAACAAATGTCTCTGTCCACATGACTTGTATGAGGTCGTTGCCATTGAATTTCACAACTGTGAGAAACTCCTGTACAGTTCACAGTGACATTTAATGGAGGGGTGAGCTTCTCTGAAATAATTTAATTAGAAATACAATCATTATAGGAATACGGCAGATTAAAAATCTAGTCTCTTTGCTCTGTCTTATTAAAAAACTACATCTTGATGAGAATTACCAGATTCACCCCATATTCAGAAGTGAGACTTCCTGATTTATTATTTCAGTTGAGGAGTCTGGAATATCAGACATTACTGTAAATTAAAATAAAAAAAAAAACAGAATAAGCTCATTGCTATATTTTGCTGAATTCTGAAATGTAATCTGTGCATTTGTTTTGTTTTGTTATAGTTTTTGCTCACTGTTTTAAGACATTTGGTATTTTAAGGATCTTTTTTTTCTGTTTCAACAGAATTCAGAATCATGAGATAAAGACACAAACCCAACATCTAGATATTTCCACTCAGGCATCCATAGCTACTTAATCCCAAAAGATGACTTTGTTCTTTCATAGAATATATATGTGATGCCAATGTTCAAAATTCTCCAATCCAGAATTTCAGGTTGACTCTGCATTCAATTTTTTTTTTCTTATAATTTTGACTTTTCAGTCACAAAGGTTGGGAAAAAAGAATAAGTCTGAGGAACAGTATTTCAAAATCTTATCCTTTTTTTTTTTTTTTCCCCCCATAGGATTGAAGTATTGAATTCCTCATTCTTTTAGCACAGTGCTGAAAATAAAATAAAATAAAAAATAATAATAGTCCTTACCAATTTCATACAGATAAATTGTCGCTCTGTAGGGCAAAATATTTTGTCCATTTCTAGACTCATTCACCAGGAAATAAGCTTTCCTATTCTCTTTTATTGTCACATTTTGGAATATACATCCTGTGTGTCTTCCACAATTATCTGTGATGTAATTCTGGCATCTGACGAAATCTTCATTCCTTTATATGACAAATTTCTTCAGTTTAATATTGATAATGTTGCACGTCAGATGAAAATTCAAATTTTCCAAGGCAAGAAGACCTACTCACCTTGAGGTCTTCCAGTACAAGAAATACTGAGCATCTCCTGAAGCATTCCTGTCCACATGCCAAGTGCAGTTCATGAAGGAAATATTATATATCACACAGACAAAATTTTCAATGGCTGTGACATTCATGCCTGCAAACATAGGAAAAATATCTCATGTCCCCTCTGTTAAAGACTGTAGAACTTCTTAAATCATGTAGAACTTGCATGCACATTTAATGATTTTTAGACACCTGATTAGCAAACACAGTTGCATACTGTTTGGGTCTTTCAGTTGCACATTTGCATCAATATAGCAATCATTTTATCTGTGTTGAGTCTGAAGATTGTCTACCATTGTTACAGATGCAGAAGATGTGGCTATGATTTAATCTGTTTAGGCGCAATTACATAGTGGAGGTTACTAACAAAGTCACTCACTGGTGTGACTCCCACCTCCCTTTAGTTACCTATGAACATTGGATCTGATAAATGTTTATAAATATCTAAAGGGAGGTGGGAGTCAAATGGATGAGGCCAGGCTCTTGGTGGTGTGTAGCAATAGGACAAGGAATAATAGCATAAAACTTGAACACAGAAAGTTCTGTACTAACACATGGAAAAATGTCTTTACGCTAAGTGTGATGGAGCACTGGAGCAGGCTGCCCAGAGAGGTTGCAGAACCTCCTTCTATGGAGATACTCAAGACCCAGCTGGATGCCTACCTATGCAACCTATTGTAGGGTGCCTGCTTTAGCAGGGGAGTTAGACTTGTTCTCTTCAGGGCCCTTCCAACCTCTGTGATTCTCTGATTCTGTGATGTGTCCTTTGCTTACATCTTCAGTTTATCAAAGGTCCAGTCTACAGTGGAATATAAATTCTGCAAATATGAGCCAGGGAAGTTTTCTATCCTGCATTCGTGTTAAGTGCTCTAAACTTATGAGTATGGACTTACAAAGGATTAAGAAATTAAGATAAGTTGTCCACTACTTTTTTTTCTGTGTTAAAACTAGGTGATTACAACCCAACTGTAACTCTGTTTTCTGAAGATATGACCTGCAGAATTGTCATGATTTTGAGGAGATAAAAGCATATTTTGGATCTTTAATTTAGATCCACTGCTAACCTATTCAAGACTGATACAGATTGGATTCAAGGGTTTGTGGAATTCTGTTTGCACATAACTTTGATAACATCCATGTTATTAACGCAGAAAAGTGTATTGTCCTTCTGAATCCTTTTCTCTCCTCAACAGTGCTGTATGAAAAAATAATTCTCTAGAATAAAAGGAGCTTAAATGCATTCTTGTACCTAATGTGTATATACATATTTTGGTGGCTCCAGGCAGTTGCTCTGCTGTATGAAGGTATTTGGAACTTATTTACAGAAAGTTTATTTCATCTGAACATATTAGGGATTTAAGAACCAAATACATGTGGCCTGACTCAAAATTTCCGGAGGCAAAGGCTGATATCTAGGAGAACTAATACAACATATACAACTAATATACAACTAGAACTAATACAACTAATACAACTAATACCTTGGCTACAAACACATATAAATGAATAACTTCCCATCACTCAGAAAACCTCAGGGGAAACATCCTCTTCACACTCAGCACACTGGTAATCAGGATGCACTAGGGGAGTTGTTATTAGGGACAAGATATTTCAATGGAGACACAAGAGTAGCAGCTACCTGATTTTGTAAACATCTGAAAATAAAGAGGAGTAGTTCAAGAGACAAAAAAAAATTGCCAAAATACTCCTGTTGCTAGAGACATGTAAGCATTCAATATAGAGTTGTTTATATCTGACTTACATATGTGTTTATATAAACATATTACAGTACACTCTTCAGAGTCCAGTGAGTAAATCACGATACTAAGGTGACCAAGACCATCAATCATTTCTCTGTTATTTCACAGATTCACCTGATGACCCAGGGTCAATCAAATCTGTGCACTTCATTTCCCCATTTACACAAGGGAAATACTTCTGGATTGGAAATAGGGAAGTGTTCTTCCCATCAAAAATGTGCAACAGGCTGAAGTATGATCATAGGCACTGTGTGAGGATCTTAGAAGTTTAGGCTTTATAAAGCCTTTGGTGATGCTGTAAATCAAAAGGAAAAAGGGTTATTTTGGTGTCAAATTCAAAAACAACCTGTTTCAGGAATGGCCCAAAAAACAGCTAGGTTGACTGAGGACATAGTAGGGTAAAGGGAACTCCTGAGGTGGCATTGTGGCATTGTGGTCGAAGAAAAGGCAAATGAAACCAGTTCCTTGCCCTCTTTAGTTGTAACTTCAGCTTTTTATAACTAAGAGAAGCATATAGAAACACCCAAATATTCTTTAAACTTACTAGCCTGTGTTATGCAGCCACGATGTTACTATGCCTACAAACAGCCATGATCAGCTGGAGAATTATGTGTGAGTCACTTTGTTCGCTTTATGGATAGGAATTTCATTCCAAACTCTGGGAATTTATTTTTAATTTCCACCTTTCCACGGTGTGTAAAATTCTGACTACCTTTCCTTTATGGAGCTGTTTATTTTTGAGTCTATCCTATTCCCTATAGTGTTACAATTTTACCTTCATTTTTAATAACAGTTAAGTTCCTTAGATATTTCTCCCACTATCTTCCATTATTTCAATGAGATATTTAAATTTTTCTCCCTCCAGTTTATACTTGAGAGCTTGACAAATTTTCTTAGTGGTTTTTTGCTCTACAATTCTTCTTTTAAAAACCCTTTATTCATCATTTTTTTATCATTATTTCCTTAAAAATAGGTAGAACCATACTGCCATGATTCTTTCCTCTGAGCTGTACTGGGAAAAAAAATGTTTTATCTGCAAAAAATATCATCGGAGATAATAAAATTTTGTTTTCTGTTCTTTGTGGTAATTGGGATTACTAACAAGGAAGGACTGGATCTCACTGCTGGGCCAAGACCAATTTCATATTTTATTCAGTAGTTCTTGAATAGAAAATGTAAAAACATCTTTCAGCTCTTGGACACAGTAGATCAGATAATTTGTAGAGGGTTGCAAATAGCATATTTTATAATTAAAAGAACATGATTTGTTTTTGGAAATGAAAAAAATGAATTACTTTCAACATTTAACATTTAACTCTGAAGACAGCATCAGACCGTGGGGTGCAGTTTGTCTTAACAGCATACAGGTGCTGTATAAATGTGCCCTCAAGGGAGGCAGTAATTCTGTGCTGCCTTTGTAGTGGCTAGAAAGAAACAGTACTTGAGACACAGTTAATTCAAACTAGCCTAGGATGAGATAAATGAAGTCTTCACTGTGTTTCCTGCCTGAAAAGGTAAGTCAGAGTGATCAGCCCAGACATATCTCTATTTAACAAAATTTTCTGCCTTGAATATAGGAGATTTAATTCATTCTGCCTCTTACATCATCTGGAACCTGCATGTAGTTAATGAACAGAAACGTTTCCTATCTTCCTTTTTTGTGAAATCTGCAAATTTATTTTTGAAATGATCTTTTCCTCCTCTTTCTTATACCTGTGGTCTCACATATTCTCTTTAGAAAAACAGTTACAGTAGAAGAACAGTACTTGTTCTCCTCAGAGGTGGGAAGCGCTTTCTTTTACATCTCACACAATTGATGTGCAGATCATTGACCAAAATTTTAAAGAAACATGAAGCATTTCCATGCAAAGCTGTTTCCATTCTGCATCCATTGTGCACTGTTGTTTATAAACTTTCTGTGAAAATGGGTTACAACTAGGCTTTGTGTTGCAGAACAACCCACCCTTCATTTCTTCCCTGAAAATGCTCAGCCCTGACACATGTCCACAGGAGATGTTCATTTTAGAAATTCAGAAATATCAGCTATGTTGAAGTCCTGTTACATTATCAATTCTTCAGACTGATTAGTTCTCATTAGATTATTAGCCTAATAACATCCTGGTTATAAGCAACATCTGACCCTGTAGCTTATTTTAGCTCATCAGAGCCTATATTATGTCAGATACTACAATGACTTTTATAAACACAGGAAAGGAAGATGTTACTGAAAAAAAAAAAAAAAAAAAAAAAAAAAAAAGTGAAAGATATATATACATATATGTATTTAAATATATATATAATTTATATATATATATAAAATATAATTTTTATACATACTCTATTCCTTACTACGAGGCTTATTTTTGAAATATGCCTTACTTTTAGGCGTATTCAATTCATGCCTCTGTTCTTTTGTCATTTTCAGAGAACTCTACATATATGGAATATTCTACTTCACTATTAACATTGGAATAAGAGAAAAGACACTTAAATAGTTTCATTTAACTGGTGCCTAAATGCAGTCCTCCTAAAAGGAACTCACTGTTACAGTGATTTTGCTTTATGAATGCAAAAATCTGAACATTTCCAGTCAGACCTGGCTTTCTTCAAGAGCGTATTTGGTAGAGCCCAGTAATACTGGAAATATGGTCACTCTTCATTTTAAAATAATTTTATATAATAAATAAACTATAGAAAAAATATGCTAAAATGCCATCAAAATTTTGGCTACATCTGTCTTTGGAGACAAAAGCATGCATTTTGGAGATAGTATTTACCCATCCCTAGAAGAGTTATTTTAAGAACATTTAAATTAACACAAGTGATATAAGTGCAGTATTTCTTTGCCTACCTTCTTTGTGGTAAAACTGTACAACAGATAAAGTCAAAAGCAAACGTACCTTCTCCTTTCAAACCTGTTTCCCTGTGGCAGTTATAGCAGTCGGGCACAGAAAAAGCGGAAGCCGTGAGTACAACTCAGTGGCATATTTTTGTGTGCTTTGACAGTGTTATTTCATTATTAAGTTTTTCTAAACCTCACGTAAAAGGGTGCAAAAATCCCGCCTACGCCTTTGTCTTACTCATTTCCCCTACACCGCACTTCCTTAAGGCAACGGGCAAAAGGAGCCACTGTATTGCTATAGGGAGGCAAAAATAAAAACGGTGTGACAGCTTCTTCACCACTTCATTCATGTAATTTTCTTCTTTTTCCTGTTACATGAGCTTCATATGGGCTTCTGTATAGAGCACAGCCTCAGTGGCACATGCAGATGTGAGATAAATTTCTGGGTTAGATATAGGTCAACATTGTTGTTTCAAACCACCACCACTGTTTTCTGCTTATTGCTGAGGGTCACCTGTGCAATTTGCCTGATGCTGTGGACTTTGTAACAGCAGTTTCCAGCTCTGCACTATTCAACCTCAAATGCAGTTCCTATGAAAGAGTAGCAAACCAATGTTTTCAGCTCCCATAACTTCTCCTTTGTCAATCTTCCACTTGACAAGGGTAGTGTCCTTCTTGTGCACATACTTTTTTTCTGGGTACATTCAATGGACAGTCAAGGTAAAGTTTGTTTTGGCATTTAAAAGCCCTGAGGGTACCAAAACAACACTATGGCACCTGTGTTAGTGCACTGGTCCTCAGAGGTGTGCAGCATCACTTGCATGAACTTCAGTGTCCTCATTCTAAATGCATACAGTAATGTGAGCACACATGAGCCATCACACTCAAGTAATCGCCCAGGTTAACAGGCTCTGAAGTGAGTAGCATAAGGCCTTTTGCTACCTTGACTGATTTTGAGACCAAAGAATGGGCCTGGGTCCTGGAAGACACTTACTCAGCAAAGCAGCTTTCTGTGAACTGAGAAACATAGCATCTGCCTTTCCACGTACTGCACAGTACCTGAAAGGCACATTTTTGACTGCTTAGGGCACTAATGCTTTGGATTTCTTGGGAAAATGCCCTCAGAGGTACAAGAACAAATGAGAGATGGAAGGTATTTAAAAACTTTTTTATTTGAGCATAAGAGATCTCAAACCTGACATGCAAAAGACCAGGCAAATGAACCAGGGAATTAGGTTGCCTAACTCAAGACCTCTTAGCCAAACTAAGGCACAAAACCAAAATGCATAGGCAGTGGAGGCAGGAATACAAATTCTAGGAATTGAGGGATGTGGTCCAGGAAATTGTGAAATTCAAGGCAAAGCTGGGCCCGAGGTGTGCTAGAGGTGAAAAAAATAACGAGAAGGATTTATTAAAATGCCTAGAACAACAAAGGAAGATAAAGAAATGGTATGGTCCCTGATGAGTGAAATGGAAAATATTCTAGTCACACTGTCCAATTCACAGAATGCAAAGGACTGGGAGAATGAAGAACTTCCCTCTGTCAGAGAGATCACATTTGAGACTATTCGAGGAATCTGAATGTGCACAAATCCATGGGACCATATTGAGAACCATCATATATGGATGTCTGTCAGCCTCTTGAATTTCCCTGTGTCTGGAAACAGGGAAACACAACCTCTGCTTTTAAAGGAAAAATATCTATATTAAAAAGAGAAAAAAAGAGGTCTGGAGAACTACAGGCCAGTTAGTCTCCATCTGTGCCTGGCTAGATCATTGAACAGATCCTCCTGGAAACTATGGTAGGACACATGGAAAACTGAGAGTGACAATCATCATGGATTCTCTAAAGGCAAATTGTGCCTGACAAATTTGGTGGAATCTTGCAATGGGGTTGCAGTGTTCATGGATAGGGGAAGAACAACTGACATAATCTACCAGGACTTGTATACTGCATTTGATGCTGTCCCCCTCAACATCTTTGTCTCAAAATTGGAGAGATCTGGATTTGATAAATGGAGCACTAATGGTGGACAAGGAATTGGCAGGATGGATGCACTGAAAATGTTGCAGTAAACTGCTCAGTACCAGGTGGATACTAGCAATGGGTTGTGTCCTTCACAAGTCTGTACTGGGGCTGATGCTGTTTAACATCTTTGTGAATGATATGGACAGTGGAATTGAATGCACCCTCAGCAAGTCTGAACTTCTTTACAGTAAGGGTGATGGAGCACAGGAACGAGGCTGCCCAGAGTGGCTGTTAAGTCTCCTTTCTACAGAGACATTCAAGACCCATCTGGATGCCTACCTGCGTGACCTATTGCAGGGAACCTGCTTTGACAGGAGGATTGGACTCAGTGATCTCTTGAGGTCCCTTTCAACCCTTGTGATTCTGTGATTCTGTGACTTGCAGCCCTGAAAGCCAATTGTGTCCTGAGCTGCATGAAAAGTGCATGAAAAGTACAGTGGACAGCAGGATGAGGGAGATAATTCTCTCTACTCTGCTCTTTTGAGACCCTACCTGGAAAAATGCGTTAAGCACTGAGGTTCCCAGCTCAAGAAAGAAAAGGATTTGTTAGAGCAGATCCAGAGGAGGGCCACAAAGTAAATAAGTTGGGCTGGAGGACCTATCCTATGAAGAAAGGCCAAGTGTTGGAGTTGTTTAGTTTAGAAAAGAGAAGTTTCTTTCTGAGAAGATATTATAGCAGCTTTCCAGAATCTAAAGAGAGCTAAAAGGAAAGACAGAGAGAGACTCTTTATCAGGTGATATGGGACAAAGAGTAATATCTTTAAACTGAATTAGGGTAGATTTAGATTAGATATTAGAGAGAGATTGTTTACTCTGAGGGTGGTGAGGCACTGGCACAGCTGCCCAGAGAAACTGTGGTGCCCCATCCCTGGAGGTGCTCAAGGCCAGGTTGGATGGAGCCCTGGGCTGCCTCAGCTAGTGGGGGGCTCAGAATTGCATGGGCTTTAAGATCTCTTCCAACATAAACCATTATTTCATGATTTTATGACTGTGTGTTTACAGATCTCTCTACCTTTCTTATCATTTAATTACTTGTACATAAAGTTATTAAACAGCACTCATGACTTACAATGTTCAGTGAATGTACCAGTTTTGCTACACATATCTGTTACATTTCTCTGAAGAGATTGGAAATAATTTCAGATTTGTCCTGACTGTTTTCTTGTATACTGAACACTTCTCTCCTATCAGCCTTCTTTGTTTTTTTTTTTTTTTTTTTTTTCCTCTTTTTCTCCTGATCAGAGGAGGAATTGGGAGTTACTTGAGAAGATGTTTCATCTTCCTGAGGTTTCAATTCCCCAATTTTATTCATAGGTCAGAGAGCAGACAATAGGCTGTTGCCTGCACTTCATTTCAGGAGCTGCAGAAGTAAGACCTTCTGTTCTCTTTCTCACTTTCTCTTGTACCACATTTTAAAACTTGAGTGTGTGTGGTTTCAGGATCAATTTTTATCAGCAAGCCTGAAATCTCATTTTCACTAGGGTATGTATAACCCGTCCAGATAGCTGATAATAGTGCTGGAAAGGTTGGAAACTAAACAATTGACTTTCATACTCATCTGCAAATTCTGCAGCATGAAACAGGATTTCTGTTGAAAGGATGTAATTAATGTAATTAAAAACTGTATCACAACACATAGGTACACATTCTAAAAGAAATAGAGTTGTATATACAAACGTAAATGAGGATGGATAATCTTCCTATACTTCCATGTCTTTTATTTAAATTGTGTTTTCTAAAATATTTACAGTTCTTCTATGCTGTCACATTGGACAATTTATCTTGTGATATGGGAAACTACTGTAATTCTTTGGTTCATAAACGTATGTGTGACTTTTTAAAGGGAAGATTTATGTAACCTTTGAGATACGGACATGCTTGCTCATGTACATGATGCTTCCACATCATGTAATCATTTGGGATGACACTGGATCACTTAGATTATCTTTGTTAAGATAATGCTGAGTAATTTATTGGCATAAGTGTAAGGAGTTTACTCACCATAAATCTCCTTGCAGTGATTCAGGTATATTTTCAGGTAGATGTTAGAAAGATTCATGGCTGGACATTTGGGACTTCTGACATTTGGGATCCTATGAAAATTTCAAAGATTTGGGACTTATATGTGCAGCAAGATCTGATGAAATTACGCTAGTCTCAACCACTAAAGCTATTCATACTATGAGTGCAAATCTTTTTGAATGTGAAAGCTGCTTTTTTCCAGGATTTACTGATTTCACACAAATTCAGAATAAAGGAGTGTCTCACCACTTTCAAAGGAAAGAATTTCTTCCCAACATCTAGTCTAAATCGGCCCTCATCCAGTTTAAAAACATTTCCCCTCATCCCGTCACTACCTGTGCTTGTAAAAAGTTGCTCACCAGCTTTCCTGTAGTCCCTCTTCAGGTACTGGAAGGCTACTATAAGGTCTCCTTGGAGCCTTCTCTTCTTCAGACTGAAGAGCCCCAGTTCTCTCAGTCTACCCTCGCTGGGGAGGTGCTTCAGCCCTCTGACCACGTTTGTGGCTCTCATCTGGACCTGCTCCAACACTCAATGTTCTCCTTGTGTTGAGGACCCCAGAACTGGATGCAGCACTCCAAGTGGGTCTCACAATAGCGAGTAGAGTAGAGGGGCAGAATCACCTCCCTCGACCTGATGGTCATACATCTCTTGATGCAACCCAGGATACAGTTTGCCTTCTGGGCTGCAAGTGCACATGGCTGGCTCAAGGACCACTTCTTCCAGGTTCAACATCAAGAGCTTCCCAACAGATAGGAATTCAAGAAAGGGAGCCAGAAGGCCTGCATTGTTAAACAGGGAACTGCTGGGCAAACTCAAGTGGAATAGGAGAGTGTATGGATCATGGAAGGAGGGGCCATTTGGCTGGCCACGTGGGAGGAATATAAGACTGTTTTCAAAGGATGTAAGGAGACAACTAGGCGAGAATTAAACCTTGCAAGGGAGGACAAGGACAACAGAAAGGGCTTCTTCAAATACAGTGCAGATAAAACTAGCATTAGAGGCAATGTAGGCCCATTAATGAATGAGGTGGTGCCCTGGTGACAGAAAATACAGAGAAGGTGGAGTTACTAAATGCCTTCTTTTCTTCTGTCTGTACTGCTGGAGGCTGTCTTCTGG